TTATCACTGATGGTGTTACTGAAATTGATGTTTTAACTGCTAACAATGTTTCGGCAAGCCCACTTCTACCTTTGCAAAAAAAAAATCCTTCCAGACCTGCCTTATCGATGACCAACCTTCAAAATAAATAACATTCTCTCTGTTGAAGTTTTAGTAAGAGATTAGCGACCTTTTCAGAGACGACTACAGCACTTCTCTACACCGTTGATGATTACTTTTTAAAAATTATAATTAGTGCCTCTTCCCTAGTACTGTTGGAAGTGGTTATAACAATGAGTGCAGCTTCATGTTTTGTAGTGAAGAGTCCATGTAAACAACTAGATACCTACCCTTCAAACTGAGGTATGTATCACACTCCTACACTCAAACCTATCTCTAAAATTGACACTAATCCTGTGATTCCTTATTATACTTAATTGTGCTTATATCAACACATCCTTCTGTCCTAAGGTTGATAAGAGATCAAATTAAAATTAATAATGGTATCCGAGTCTAATTCATGTGAATTCCATCGTTGACAAGTTTATCAGTCAAAAAACTAGAACAAATATTTAATATCAAATGTGTTGAATTCTTGGAGAGCGGCCGATAATACATTAACAGACGGACAGTAGAGCTTCGAACAGCAAGATATGGAGTAACACATCTGCTTAATTTCAGATACATCCACAGATTTTACAGGAGACATGGTTGGGTTAATTGCATCACGACCTAAGAAGAAAAGTTTTTTTGACAGAGTCCCACACAAAAGGTAGTTCTGAAAACAAACTTGCAAGAGAAGCGACTACTGATATGGATGACATTTTTCTAACTTACGGAAAGACGAGGGCGGTAGTCAGATGCAATGTATCAGACCAGAGAAGTAAACTAGTGTAGTACCACAGGGCTCAGTTCCTGCATCAGTACTGTTCATTGTCTATAAAAGCGATCTATCAGAAGGAATGCAGACTTATATGAACATGTTTCTGATGATGGTGCGCGACTAGGGAAGATAAGGGACTTCGGCGATTGTCATGCCCTTCAATATGATCTGGACAAAATAAGTATGGATCAACACTTGCTAATGCAGTTTATTGAGAATAAATGCCATGTTATGGAATGTAGAATAGGAGAAAATAAGCCACACAACATGCAAATTGTGTAGAAAGACATTAAAGAATTCTGACAGATAGATCTAGGAAATGGTTCTGGTTAGTAGACTATCACCTGGGTACCACAAAGATGATTGGGCGAGGGGCATATGCTTACGCATTTTCCATCTTCAGAATCGCTTTTAAATACAGAGCGGTGAAATATTAGACATTGTTCACGACTTTACCAGAGTTGGAATATGCAGCTGTTGTATGGTGCCCATATCTCATCAAGCAGCACAAACTGGAAAAGATGCAGAGACATGCAACAAAATGGCTTCCAGAATTAAAAGACAAGAGCTACGAGGAAGGGTTAGAGGTGCTAAATATGTCAAGAGCTAGAAGAGAAGAAAAAGAAGCGATATGATCACTACATACAACATAGAAAAGGGGATCGACAAAACTAAAAGAATTCTTGAAGCCTGGAACCTTAAGAACAAGAGGTCATGGGTTTAAGCTAACTAAACAAAGCTGCCGAAAGTAAATTATAAAGTTCAGTTTTGCAGTGGAAGACGGTTGGAACAAGTTAGGTGAGAAGGTGGTAGAGACCAATGCCATCAATAGTTTCAAAGCGTTATATAACAGTATTGGGAAGACGGGACACCGTCTTCCCAGTATTGTCATATAATCCAGCACGCGTAACTCATCCTGTAACTACACTTTAATAATTACACACCTGAGGACCTTATGCTGGTGTCGGGAGGTAACGATGACGACCGGGATGAGTTCCTTCATCTGCAGCTTGGGCTGTGAATAGACAAGTGCTTAGAGTATAGCGACTCGTATATTGTGACTCGCACTACGTAGAGTGACTCGCATGTTGCACGTTTCCCCTAACTTCCAGACTCGGACAACAGGGATCCCAACAACTCTCCAGAGGTTCTGTTCCACCCCCCCCCCTCCCCAGATGTTACCAACGGGTGGTGGGAGGGAGGGGGGGGGGCTCCTCACCAGTGTGGAGCTCAAAAGACGGGCCTCTGCAAATAGCTGATTCACACTCGGCCGGCTTCTCGTCTTCACAAGGCGTCTTTCTCAGGAAGCCGTCTACAGCTCTTCATTCAGGGTAAATGAGCTCAGACACACTGTGTACTCCACTCTGCTCACTCCGGTCGCACCCCATACAACTGCACAAGCATAAATATGGGAAGGCAAGATACCCCTTCCTACTTACAGGCTTACTCAGACACCTCGGCCATGGCATTATGCCGAGTGTCACTGCAAGATCTCACATGTTCTGGACAATTGGCCTGATGTCCGGAATTGACAACTCCAGAATGACATTCAATGTCTCACAGCATCTGCAAAACGTGCACAAGCCTAGCGCCTCAATATGTCCCGCAGAGTACTGTAGCTAGTTGTATGTCGCTCAGTCTTTGCAGGGTCAGTGACTCGTAACTCAGCCTCTACAGGGTCAATCGATAAGTAACAGAGCAAGGAGTGCACAGAAATACAAAATTCGTAAAGTATAAGACAATTAAATGAAGAACATATGTTACGTTAGTAGCCTCTTTTCAAAATTGAATTTAAAAAGTCCAGTCACCTCAGTACTCACTAGGCTGCCTCTGGCCCTTTAAAAAATTATTGCGTTAGTCTTGCAAAAGTAATGAAAGAGCATAACTCTGGATCAAAATTAATGAGGCTCACTTCACTTGGTAAATACTTAAAAATTAAAAGCAAATAATATCACTAAGCTTTGCTAGCCGTGTCAGAAATCATGCAACAATAATATTAGGCAAAATAATCGTAAAAGTCAATAAACACAATATTAAAATCCTTGTATGTTTTCTGTGAAACCATACTACAGTACCTCAAAGGGGAATGGGGTGGAAATGTTGCTTAACTGAATATATCCTTGGCGCCGGTCACCAGACTGTCCACCACGACCTTCTTGCCCCGACTCGTCGTCAGTACTGTTGTCAGCGGTCCTGTTACTGGCGGGTGTGTTCACTGCAGGCTGGACGTCATCCACACTAATCACCCCGTACTCCTGGTTCAACCTTGACGACCAGCGGACGTCTGGACACCTCCGCCTGATCACGTTCTGTTTTCGCGTTTTGGCTTTGCAACTGCCGTTTGGCATCCTCCTTCAACGGTCCGGTTGTACGACACCTGGCGCACATATCGCCTTGGGTCACAGGATTGTTGATAGATTTTTTTTACGTGTTCTGGTTGGTTCTTTTGGCGGGGTGACTGTGTTCGGGGGCCGGCTTGACCGAGTGGTGCCGGGGGTTGGTAGGTCTTGGTGGGCTCCTGGTGTGCTCTCAGTCGTGATGGCCGGCTGGTTTCTGCTCTGCCGGAGGACACTGGACGACAACTGCGTTTTAGTTGGGGCCCGAGTTTTGGTTCTAATTACCCCGTAACTGCAGGTACGGAAGTGACTTAATGACGACCCCTAGACCTCTCTGTGCCTGGCACTGGCCCAGCCTGGCTCGCCCCACCACACTACCAATAATAATTTATTCACTATAAAGTACAGTGGGTTGGTGAGATTACACAAGATTGGTATTTTTACATTCTTGCGAAGCCATTAACACGCATAGCGTTTCAAACATTCGTAGATGGATACCATGGTTCTTCCCAGAGGACTACCACCTCACTGGAACTGTCTGCTCACTTGGGCTACTGCACACTGTCCAGTTCAAAACTGCAAATGTTCCTGGCGAAACAAATCGCAGCTTCTCATTGTTCATATAAATATCTCCCAAGTGAAGTAGGCTATCACTGCTCTACTGTCTCGTTGCCTTTCACTGGGTTATCACTGTCAAGGCTGCCGCTGCATGCAACTTCATTGCACTTCTTACCTCAGCGATACCAGACTTCCTAGTTTGGGACTGCCCTCAAAAAAAGTGGTACACTCAACATTACTGAAGTGTGACCCCCTCACTTAGGTCCTCTGCACGATGTAGTCTGCTCAGCTGGTGTCTAATGTTACTACGTTTTTCTCATTAGTAAAACGTCGAAATAACCTCCCTGAGGTTACCCAAGCTGCTCCTTATGATGGTAAAAGATCCGCAGAAATCCAAGTATCGGCTTCTCTCACAAATCGCCATTTCTAATAAAATCACCGAGCTGAGCATGAGCGTCAGCCTTCCACCATGTTTCTGAGTACACTGTCACCTGCCCCTCCCCCCCCCCCCCAGGCCCCAACAAGTAGGGTTGCCAATTCAATTTTCAGTTTTGCATTTATAAAGATCATGAAAAGCATCTCTAAAGATCTGAATTTTGCATATTTGCATCTAAAAATAAGCTAAATATATGTTACTTATTACTTATCAAGCACAGTTATGAAATATAACACAAATTTAATGAAATAATAAAGACTAATAATGATTCTTGCCTTGATATTACGACATTAAGCAAAACAAAAAACCATCGTCTTCAACTTCACCTTCAGCACTAGACGGGTCTGGATGAGAAGAAACTTCAAGATCTTTTGTATCTTCAAGATTGTTCCCATGTCCAACACCTCGGATGGAAGTTCGTAAGATTTGCAACAATTTTCTAATTTGGATAAACTGAATGGAGAAAGGAGGACTCGTAGCCTGGTGGATAGTGCGCAGGATTCGTAATTCTGTGGCGCGGGTTCGATTCCCGCACGAGGCAGAAACAAATGGGCAAAGTTTCTTTCACCCTGAATGCCCCTGTTACCTAGCAGTAAATAGGTACCTGGGAGTTAGTCAGCTGTCACGGGCTGCTTCCTGGGGGTGGAGGCCTGGTCGAGGACCGGGCCGCGGGGACACTAAAGCCCCGAAATCATCTCAAGATAACTCTTCAATATCGATTGCATTGATAAATTGATTTTTCATTAGATTGATTTATTTTCATTTTGATTTTAATTATTTTGTGTGACATTGCGTTGGAATTGAGCAGTGTTTACCATACTGTTAATTTCGTGAGTATAGTTTTTTTTCATTTCGTTTAACTTTTTCTTATATTTCAGTGATGGGAACACCAGATCATTTGATGTTCCCAGTTTTATGATGGGAACATCAGATCATTTGGGAATGCATCGGACGAGGGAGTGGGGAATGGGGAGGACGAGGGAGCGGGGGAGTTGGGGATGGTGGGGACGAGGGGACAGAGGAATGGAGAATGGTGGCGGAGGACAAGGGGACAGGAGTGGGGGGGAATGTTGGGGAGAACAAGGGGACGGTGGAATGGGGAATGGTTAGGACGAGGGGACGGTGGAGTGGAGGATGGTGGGGAGACGAGGGGAAGGAGGAATGGCGCGGAAGGACTGGGAGACGGGGTAAGGTTGCTGTGGCTCAGCAACGCGTGGCCGGGTACAGCTAGAACTGTATATACATATAAACGTACGACGGTACGCTCGGACAATTGCAAATATATGTTCCGTTACAAATTTGGTAAAATCATCTAAAAATATTCATAATTCTATCAAATCCAACTAGATTTACAAATAATATATCTAGATGATATAAAATGCAATTCATATAATATAAATTATCTAGATGTAGATGTTAAATATACAAATTAGCAGTACTGCCAATGAGAAGCCAGTCCGACTACACTCACTGATGAGGTAACCTTTAGCTACCTGTTGATAGGCTTTCAAGTAAGTGCAATCATCTTTCCTCATCTCATCCTGGTCACTCAGCGTCTATCATCGCCATCTTGAGATGTCACTAGGCTTTTCCACTCTTGAGAGTAAATACTTTAATTTCTCAAACCTGCTGCAACTCTCAGCCTTCCAGTAGCAAATATAAGTGTTCTCTGGAATATATAGTATGTACAACGGGTGGAAAACTGACTAAGCCAGGAAAAGCTCACACAGTGTATAGTGACACAGTCGGCTCACAGTGTATAGTGACACAGTCGGCTCACAGTGTATAGTGACACAGTCGGCTCACAGTGCATAGTGACACAGTCGGCTCACACAGTGAATAGTGACACACAGTCGGCTCCCAGTGTATAGTGACTGATAATATAGTAACAAAGTATATAGTGACTCAGACCAGGCTGCGTGGACGTACCGCTAGATCAGGAGAGAGGGAGGTCGGGTGGAGACAGCTGCACCAGGCTCCGTACCCCTCGTACGTGTCGCAGAAGGCAGCTCGCTCCTGCAGGTGCGGCAGGCGGGACCAGGGGCACCCTCCACCTGCGGTACACACACCGTACACCCAATATACCTTGTTCAACAAAATTTATTGTTATTGAGGTAATAAATAGTGTGGAGTAGAGCAATCAGCAAGTGGGCAAGATAAGAAGCCTATTGGCCGCCGTAACTTAGCGCTCCAGTATAGACCCACCAAGATGTAGTGGAGTTACCATATATCCAACAACAATATGCAACCTCTCATAGTTGATATAGTAATATATTTATTAATTTGTAAATTGAACTGCATTCGTCTACACTTATTTAATTCATTTACTTAATTTATTACTACATCTGTAAAGGCAAACAATTTATATAGTTTATTTGTAATGGCCTTGCTGTGTAATGAGAGAGAAGCTACAGGTCTAACGCTGGGGCTCGCACTAACAATACATCGTAGCTAAATCCTGGTTTACAATGTGTATATATATATTCAATACGCAATTGGCTAATGCGCTTACCTCTGTCGCGAAACAAATTAACAAATATTAGGCACAAAAAAATGGCTAATTTATGTGCATGTTAAAAAAATTGTTTTCTGTGCACATGTAGTGTGTGTAGGCAAGCGTTACTTGTCCCCCCCCCTGGCCTGGGGGTCAAGCGTGACTTGTCCCCCCCCCCTGGCCTGGGGGTCAAGCGTGACTTGTCCCCCCCCCCCTGGCCTGGGGGTCAAGCGTGACTTGTCCCCCCCCCCTGGCCTGGGGGTCAAGCGTGACTTGTCCCCCCCCCCCTGGCCTGGGGGTCAAGCGTGACTTGTCCCCCCCCCCTGGCCTGGGGGTCAAGCGTGACTTGTCCCCCCCTGGCCTGGGGGTCAAGCGTGACTTGTCCCCCCCTGGCCTGGGGGTCAAGCGTTGACCTACCCCACCCCTGGCCTGGGGGTCAAGCGTTGATCTAACCCCCCCTGGCCTGGGGATCAAGCGTTGACCTACCACCCCCCCCCCTGGCCTGGGGGTCAAGCGTTGACCTACCCCCCCCTGGCCTGGGGGTCAAGCGTTGACCTGCCCCCCCTGGACTGGAGGTCAAGCGTTGACCTTCCTGCTCCACACCTGACCTTCTCTTACCTACTCCTCACCTCCCTCTCCTTATTTAATCACCTCTCCATCAATCATCAACTTTTACGGGCTATTCATGCCCGTGCCACCTCTTGGGTGGCTTAATCTTTATCAATCTTTATCAATCAATCATCAATTTCACCAGACGGCACCGCTCCTATGCCAGGTGAGTACACTACGGGCTCACCATAGCCCGTGCTATTTGCCCCGCTCCTGTGCCGGGTAAGTTACGGGCTCACCATAGCCCGTGCTACTTGGAACTTTTTGGTCCCAGAAGCTGAATCTATAACAACAACTCTCTCCCAGCACATACTACTTGATAAGGGTCCAGGACGGTTCGAAATATCATCGTTTCTTCATTTTCTAGTGTGTGATTTGGTCATTTCCTTAATAAATGTGGTTTTATCTGCACTATTCTTTAGGCTGACTGGAGCAACTTTTTCATGTCAAAGTAGCTTGTTACTTTTAACACATATCTATGTTGTCTCGCTCTTTTTATCTTTCCCCTGCTATGCCAAGAACCACAGACGTCTTATCATGGAACATAACCGTGGACAACTAAAGCTTGACCACATAACATGTACTAAACACATACTACAGTCCCGTGGTCCGTTGTAGCGTGCGCTCCCTAATTCCCTGTCATCAGTCAAGCCTCGCCCGCTGGATGTTGGCTCCTCAGGAATTTACATGACCCACTTGAACAGCAAGAGATGTCGTCCTTAACTCGACATTAATGGGCCGCAAAGTCTTCTCCAACCCCACCATCCATATATAGCTTAACTCTTGCATCTCTGAACCCATCCAAGCAATATATTGTGCACTATTGAAAACAGTAATCAGCAGGTTTGTAGGTAATAGTAGTAGGTAATCCAGTAGTATTGTAGGTTAAATTTCAGTAATTTGTTGATCGTTTACGTTCTTCATATATCATTCAGCCCATACACAGGGTGAACATGCTTACAAAGCGTACAGATGTACTTAGAAATATACGTATGAATAACCTAACCTATTTAACATGATGCCAACAGTGCCTTGTTGCCTCAAAATATAGAACTGTTGTGTTAGATTTTAAATACAGATATGTAGCATATACATGTCCCGTGTCACGGACCAAATGGCAGAATATGAAGGGGATAAATATTATATATAAAGGGCAAAGCGTGGGAAGAGGAAATATGAAGGGGGCAGGTGGCGAGATGGAAGCAGCAGTCATAAATGTGTCAAACACACAAACGGCCAGAAGCAAGAATTACAGCGTGGAAGAAGGGAAGAAGAGTACAACGAATTAACAGCAAGGAAATACATCATCACAATGTGGGGAAAATAAAGTATGAAAAAATCTTCAAATGACAATCCTTTTTAATAAAAATGTTTACCAGACCACACAGTAGAAGGTGAAGGGACGACGACGTTTCGGTCCGTCCTGGACCATTCTCAAGTCGATTGTGTCAATCGACTTGAGAATGGTCCAGGACGGACCGAAACGTCGTCATCCCTTCACCTAGTGTGTGGTCTGGTCAACATACTTCAGCAACGTTATTGTGACTCATCGCCTGCAAAAAAAATGGAAATGATTAGTTATCCTATGGCTATGAAAACGAATTGAGATCTACAAACAGAAAATGAAACTAATTTATTTTTACTGGACAAACTCAAGTATTTCGCTCTTCCAGTTATGGTAGCCATGGAAGCTATAAACATTGCATCTAATTGGGGACCTACTTGGGAACAACGGTGCGTTACCTTGTACTACCTGCAATAAGTACCCAGAAAATATAGAACAGAGTAATTACATACAAGGACCAATTATAATGAGGATGACGCATCAATATATTGTAACTTGTCTGTCTGTTCAAAGTTTATTTATATATACAAGAGTTGTTACATTCTTGTACAGCCACTAGCACGCATAGCGTTTCTGTCAAGTCCTTAACCCTAATTGCCCGAAACGCTGTGGGTATTAGTGGCTTTAGTCATTGTATGTACTATTTCTATCTAGAAATCCAACAATATGTTTATAACTCATCTTGTACTTTTACCTGAATGAACATTTGATTTCAATTGTTCCTCGGAATACGACCCGCCAAATCGTTTAACAACTAGGTACCCAGTCACTTCTGTGTGAACATAGGCTACAGTTAAGGATTGGCGCCATTTAAATCCTCCCCAACCAGGATACGAACCCAGGCCAAATCGCTTGCGAAACGCCAGGCGAGTGAGTTACCACTACGCCACGGGGACTTCAATATCTGATGGAACCAAGTGTGAAAGACGTGTGATGTCCTTATAGTTTTTAGTGATTGTAATATATTTTGTGTATTAGATCTAGGTATCCCCATCTCTGCTGTCAAAACTGTATTGGTCCAAACACTCAGGTCTGATAGGAAAGAAATTACCGACTCCCAACGACCTGAAAGTACTAGTATAAAAAGCTATGATTTGTTCAGATCTGAAACCTATATCTATGGGCAGCACAAAACTTCTACCAGAATGTGCGACACAGTGGTTGCCAGGATCAGGTTGGGTTACCATTACCTGTGGCAGGTGGCTGCAGGTGACGGATCTCCCAATCCTGAGTACTCCAGGTGCAAACTCTGTGAGCAAGAACTGCTGCATGATCTCACACACACTACATCACTGAATGCCCAGTTATTAGACCTTTCAGACCAGTTGGCATGAGGTACCTGGAGCTTTGCAATTACTTTATTCACTCACGTATTCTTGAAGATATCCTCACAGTGCACCCAAAATTTGCCAGTGCAGGCTACTAAACATATGGTCCTGTATGACTAACCATCCTGCGAGATGGGGACTTTCATTGCTACTGCTGCCTTACTCTTGTGTTGTTGATATCCTCAAAATGCATCCGGAGTCTGCCAGTGCAGACTGCCTATCACATGCCTCTGTATGACTAACCATCCTGTGTGATGGGGATTTTTTAGCATCACCTAGTTAGCTTTTTTGACACTGTACTCCACTTCATATAGTCTAGGGTAGCTGCACTAATGCAGATGTACCTCATGTATTGATACAAAAAATTGTAAGACCCAGTTGTTGGGTCTCTTACAGTTGTTTCAGTACTTCTAAACATTGTAATAAATTTCTTGAGAGTACCACTTAAATTAATATCTCGAGGTTGAAGGGGGCGAGAGTGGAGGGTAGGGAGATGGGGGGACGGTGGGGAGGAGGGAAGAGGGGTGGGGGGGGTGGAGACCCCCGGGCACTGGAGGATAACCGTCCTAGTGTATATACATATTAAATTTCATTATTTTGACGCAAATTTCTACAAGAACTTTACATAATGTTTTATAATTTAATGCAATATATCCTTTCAATGTGATAGATGGAGACAGTTTATACAGAAGGTGTCCGCGCAAAGCCTTAAGGAGCTTCGAATCACAGTATAAATTATACACAATTTAAGATAAATTAATGAATATTTCATAAAGCTCAAGAAATCTCAATACATGCACTACGTATATTAATTTAAAACATACAAAGGTAAGGTAATTTATGCAATATTTTGTGTAAATAATCTTGTGTTAGAACTGATGAGTTGGCCAAGACTTTTGCTCGTAAAGAGGGAACTGATTACCAACTTTGACTGTCTTTGAGCAGCCCGAGGGCAGCAATATTCCGGGAACATCAACTAAATTTTGGAGACGAATTTTGAATTGAACTATCAGGGGAAAGAGACAAGCCATTATGACTAAATAGCACATGGAAGGGACCAGGATAAGGATTTGGGATGGGACTGGGGGAGGAATGGTGCCCAACCACTTTGACAGTCGGGGATTGAACGCCAACCTGCATGAAGCGAGACCGTCGCTCTACCGTCCAGCCCAAGTGGTTGGCTTGAGGCAAAGTGAAATTGACACCAGTTCATCTATCATCATTCTATTATGCAGGAAGAACCGCACGTCTATGGGTCATCCAATAATGTTAGCAGACTTCTAGATGTTACCACTGCTAGGCTTAGGCTCGGCTACAAGTACCTCTGGAGTTTGTAACATCTGCTGATGTAGATTTGACTAAATGTAAACTCTGTCAGCAGAACTATTCACATACTTTGCGTCATTATATAATGGAATGTGAAAAAATCGCGGAATTTAGAGAACACCATTAATGGTGTCCATGAAATGTGTAAGTACTTCATTCATAATGATGTGCTGCCCGAAATCATAGCGAAGTATCCAAAATTTGCTTACTGTAGGTAATGCATGCACACGAATGTAAAGCTGCCGCCCAGTTGGGTGGGTGTGCAGCAAGACTAGTAGCTGTGTGACTCACTATAGATGTAAAGTGCCTTGTATAGTGACTTGTGAGCCTCTTGTTGAATCAGTGATACAAAAGATTATTGATGCGTGTATTTGTGTAGGTGATTAAATATGCATATGTATATATATGTATATATATGTACATCTATGTATGAGTATGTGTACATGTATATACAACATTAATAATTGTAACTAGCGTCAAAAAATTTTATTTGCTTAGCTAAACGAACTAGAGGGTTCAGTTCCTGAACCGATTATGTGCCTCAGTAACACCACCACCGCCCACAGGATGTGATAACACTTCACACCACCGCCCACAGGATGGGGTATGGGGTGCATAATAAAGAAAGACATTGAATTTCGAAGCTGTAATAGGCTTCATGTGGACATCTGGTGACACAAAGCTAACGAGGAGAAGCAGAATAGATTGTAAGTACAGTCCTATAGTATTCATACATAAAATTAGAAACTAAAAGCAGTCGAGGACCCACCTGGCGGTGCTCTGGGCACGGAGGCCGTCAGCCAGAGAGGCGAGGAGGCGCTGCTGGTATACCTCCTGAGGGTGGTGGCCGCCTCCGCCCAGAGCCTCCCGCCCACCGTGGCCACCGCCGCCCACATCTCTCCACTACACACTTCGCCCACCCACCAGCCTCGCAAGAACTTCTCCAGGAAGTCGTTGGTGTCGTCATCGAAGAAGTATCGCCAGTCGCCCTAGAGACATGGGTCGTAGTCACGACTACCATTCTTATTGGAACTGCTTACAGTTTAAGACACAATGTTCTGCATTATAACTACTGAATATGTCCTTGTGGTGTTCAATAGTAATTTATTTATTTGCATAATATTCATTGTTAAAATCCCACAAAACTGGTGTGGAAATAAACTGAAGAAACAATTACTGAATTTCTATAAAAGGCCAAAACCACGGACTGTGTTTTATTCCATACTGTGGCTAAGCCACTCACAAGCGACACAGCCACATACACAGGGAGAGGTGTGGCCCGACTTCGCGGTGTATACACACAGTTTACTCTGGTCCTGGACAATGTTCAGGACAAGAGTATACTAGCAGGCCAATAACCTGTTATAGCGGCCTTAATAACCCTGCAGAGATAGGGTTAGGCCTTAAGCCTAATGCCAGAGCAACCCACTGGTTGCAACAGACGCCGAGGGGTGCTGTTCATAACACGAAACCACTCTGAGGATTGCCGAGGTGTGACGTCAGAAGCAATCATAATTAGGGAGGCTTGCCTTGACTGCCATACAGAGGCGGCAGACGCTGTAGTGTACTCACGGGGGCGGCCAGGACGAGCAGAGTGCCAGGCTGGAGGCTGAGGAGGGTGTGGACGAGGCCCTTGGTGGCTCGAGGCTGCCAGGTGCGGTAGTAGGCGGTGAAGGTGGTCGTGCCACGGTTTGGGTGGAGAGTGATTACGTGAACTCCGCGGTGGGCTGTAGAATATGTCCCCGGCGACACCTGGGTCGTCACGTTGTACTGCCGCAGCACCTGCACCAACACGGAGTTTACAACGTTGAATCCTGCTTGACAAACATATGGCACCTCTACAACCAAATATTAGAGAAAGAGAGAGAGAGGGAGGGTTGCAAACTGATTAGACAAGCGATCCCCTCATGCTGGAGAAGCAGGCCCGTGTAGCTGAAGGAGCGCCGAGGTGGGTGAAGGAGCACTTCTCAGCAAAGAAGCAGTGTCATGCTATTCATCTTTGCTTAACTTAATCTTTTCCAAACTCTGCCTAACCCAAGCTATGTAAACTATCTAGGTTAAACCTATAATATCAACCAGATTTAGAATCATGTAAATTAAAGTAATAAGCTGAACCTAAAGTATCCATACTTAATTTAACAAAATATAACTAAATATTTATCTAAAAATAACGAGTGGAGTACTACAAGGGGCGGTGCCGAGTCCCATCATATTTATAGTTTAAGTCAACGACATGACAAGAAATTTGCCGAGTTACATCAATTTAAATTTAAATTTTGCCCCGAGGGGCGAGTTTATTGGGCAGCGCCACTCATCTTGTGAGTCAACATACCGCCATAGCAGAATGTACAACACTCCCCAATAGGAAGAAAACCCGCTGGGTTGTTCATCCTGTCACTTGTACCCAGACACAGCTGGGACTTGCTTAACTGTCTCAAGTGAACAGCTACATCAATGTTTGCTGATGACGCAAGACTAAAGAGTTTCGGAACAATGGGGTACTCTGATACCCTGTACACGGATCTTTATTAAATCCCATGATCTGAGATGCTGCTGCAACATTTAACCCAGACAAATCAAAAGGTATGAAAACCTTTTGAATAGAAGAAGGAAGACCTATACAGCAGTATCAAATGGAGGGATGACAGATTCTTGCATTGGAATAGGTTCAATAGGACAATAGGAGAAGGTGTCAACAGAACACCAAAGCTAGTGCCAGATGCACACATTAGAAGAAAAATGCCAGTGGCATATATCAAACTGACCAACGCCAGAGTAGCCTTCAGGGATTTAAACAAAGACTTTCAGGTCGTATGCCTATGTGAAACTCTTTAGTGTGCACCCCTGGCATGGAATCCCTGTCTGGAAGAGCATAAAGCAAGACAAGGAGGAGATAAAGAATAGGAAGAACATAATAGCGACTTTTTAGATTTTATGAAGAATTGACAATTTAGACAATAACTGACAATAAGCAATATTCGAAACTGGGAACAGCAGTAAGAGTGGTCATGAAGGCGAACTGGAGCTACAAAGGAATCACAGATCTCAAAAAGATCCTCTTCAATGTTAGAAATGTAAAAAAGTGCAAGAGTTAGACCGAGTTAAATTGAGAGTACTTATAGTAACGATATGGTCCATCATACAAATATGGACCAGTAGAAAGGCGGTTTCTGTATTACTAAATTTTGACAAACCGAAACAGTTTTTCTATTTATGTTGTCAGTGAAGCCTAGCCTAACCATCCGAAGCCTAATAAACGCCGAGGCCTAATATAGTACATATTTATGTTATACTAGGCCTAAGAATATTTAAGTTTAGTTTTACCTTTACTTTTTCGCGACTAAAAAAAATCAAATTCTACTTTCTATTTGTCCATCACGAGGATATTTGCACGAAGGTGCAGACGGCTACAGAAGCTGTGTTACCAAGACCACGGGAGGGAACATGAGGGCGGGGAGGGGCCGGGTTCATTTTAACTCCTGGTGAAGTACAATGTGTTGGGGCGGTGGGGCCGCCGCCTGCTGCTCAGCCCTCTGGGCCGTCTCATGCTGCTGCTGTTGTTATAGATTCAGCTACTCTGAACAAGCACCAAGTAGCACGGGCTATGGTGAGCCCGTAACTTACCTGCCACAGGAGCGGGGCAAGTAGAACGGGCTATGCAGGTGAGCCCGTAGTGTACTTGGCACAGGAGCGGTGCGTGATGGCCCGTCTCAGTACTCCTCTCTCAATATACATGGCTTAGTTACACATCTGCCCGTTGCTCGAGCACCACACCTGCAACGCTGCTCGTTGCTCGAGCACCACACCTGCGATACAACATTAAACACACAACAAGTGTGTGTGTGCCAGGTAAGTCCACTACGGGCTCACCATAGCCCGTGCTACTTGGAACTTGTTCCGAGTAGCTGAATCTATAACAACAACGTGTGCGCGCGTCACAAAATACACATTGTTGGTGCCTGGAGGAGCAGACTAGGCAGATAAGCCAACCAGGGATGACGCCGCCTCGGCCGCCATGTTGCCCCCACGCCTGCGTCACACATTAGCAGCGAACTAAAAGGAAAGTTTGGAGGGCGTGACAATGCCCCTCCTTGACTGCTTAAGGATCACCTGGTGGCAACACTCCTCGCCCACCCATGTTAATATCAACAAACTAAAGCTACATTTCCCAAACAGATGAAATTATGCGTAAATAAATGACCAGGACTCAGCAATATTCTGAAGAAACCTAGTGCCTCGTAGCCTGGTGGATAGCGCGCAGGATTCGTAATTCTGTGGCGCGGGTTCGATTCCCGCACGAGGCAGAAACAAATGGGCAAAGTTTCTTTCTAAAGCCCAGAAGTCTGCTTTCTTTCGGGGCACACTAAAGCCCCGAAATCATCTCAAGATAACCTCAAGTGCGTCACTATCTTAGGACTATCCAATGTATATATAAAAATATGGCTCGCGAAGAGACGATCATTAAATGCTTTGTTATATATCTGTATCACAAAGAATCAGATATGTTTTATTTAAACATTAATATGCGTTTTTAGGAAGACAAACTTATTTCAACTTGTGTTGATGTGACACAGGAGCCGAGCCATTGACCAGGAACGGTAAGCCTATAGGACACAAGGTCCTGACCAGAGCACGAAGGCTGGTGGGGTCGACTCCTCTAACAGTGTTGCATGTTACCCCGTATCAACAGTGCAACATTTATCAACAATAATTCACCTCCTTACAGTGAATAAAACCTTACTTAACTATACTGGCTTTGCGTTCTCTCCTGACAATTTCCTTAATTCAGAAACTGATGAGATGGAATTATAATAAAGTACGACACTCCTTACATTATAATTATAAATACCCTGTAGTTGAAATGGTACTTCCGATTCAAGTTATAAATTCCACGGCTGGATCTTGTCTACCAGATTGTGGACAATAAGATCTGGTGGCGGTCATCTGGGAATGTGGCTAAAATAGCCGCAACAAGAAAAAACGGCGATGGCCCAATATTAGAACTTTTTTTCTTGGGACATTCCCTAGATGCGAGTCAAACTTTATGCTTCTATCACCATAATTCACGGAGCATTTGTGCTACTCTTCTGGGAAGAGGCATTCTAAGTTGAGGACATCAAATGGTGCGAAGCAAGCAGAAAGCAAGAAATACCACCAGGTGGGAGACTTGCGAAAAAACTTAGAAATTGTAAAGAATACCGGAAGAGCTAGTAAGAACGGCCGGGCTCCTCATCGCTGCCATGTTTCTCATTGTAGGGCGAGAGATGATACAGCGTGAATGGCAAAATACTACAGGGAACCTACTCAGGAACAATCACAGATTCATTCTATCAAAATATTTAAATAGGTATATTTAAATATTAACTACAGGAACTATCAAGTAGTCCACGTGAACTGAGAGAGCAATTTGCAGTCATTTAAGATCTAAATGTCTTCCACTCAGTGCTCTAGTCTCTGCCCTCCCCCCTCCTCTACTTACAAGTCACTAGCCTATTCCACCAGCATCTCGTCCAGGCTGACTAATGTATCAAGATATGACCCTTTTGTCATTCATTATAACATTTATATACAGGAATAGTACAGGAATTTGTCGTTTCAGAATTTATATGTAGAACAAGATAAATTACAAGAACAAAACAAATTAAAACAAAAATTCCTCTCTGGCTTTTATGGTTTTTGGTCTTGTGGGGGGGGGGGGGGTGGATGAGTGTCTGCAGGGAGCGTATTAAGTCTTAATAAGTGTTTAGACTAATATATGTACATAGCTTGAATGAATTCGTCACCTGTGGCATCATAATTCTGAGGTGTGAGAGAATAAGATGGACGTAGCCTCACCTGTTTGCCGTCGACGGTGACTTGGATGGTGAGAGCGTCGACCATGACCTCGACGGTGATGGTGTTGGAGGCGAGCACTGTAGAAGGAAGAGGCAGTGTGAGGGCCCGCACTCCACACACCCTCACTCTGCGTTATCACACCTGCTCTTAACCCGTCACACTCACACTAGTTATCACCCTAAAAAACTGGGAATCATATCTCGATAATAACTCACTCTAACACACACCCCCCCTTCAGGGAGTGGGGGAGCCGTGACTGAATAGCCAGCGCTTGGTACTCTTGATCGCAGGGTCTGGGTTCGATCCTGGCTGCCGGCAGAAACAAATGGGCAGTTTCTTTCACCCTGATGCCCCTGTTACCCAGCAGTAAATAGGTACCTGGGAGTTAGCTGTTACTGGCTGCTTCCTGAGGGTGTATGTGTGTGTGTGAAAAAATTAGTAGTAATAGTTTTTGTACGTACAAAATACGTAATAATACATACGTACGTAATAGTTTTTGTACATCGACCAGGAGGCCTGGTCGACGACCGGGCCGCGGGGACGCTAAGCCCCGGAAGCACCTCAAGGTAACAGTTGATTGACAGTTAAGAGGCGGGCTCGAGCAAAGCTCAACCCCCGCAAGCACAACTAGGTGAATACAGGGACCTCGTGAAAGGTCCCTGTGGACCTTCCACGAGGTCCGAGAGCGCGGGACCAAAAGACTGGTCACACCACACCTGCACAAAGCGTCAGGTCACACCACACCTGCACCAGTCCCCACACTACCGTAGGACACGCCTGACCTCTGACTACCCCGTGGCCACAACGACAGTGGTTGGTGCTTGTTACGAGTTCACCAACAGCCAGTAACTGGTATACAATTATTGTCAAAAAATATTACCAAAGCAAGCCAGTTTTCAACGTTTTTTCAATTATTCGTATAATTTAAAGACTATTAAGAATGAATAATAGTCTAGATATGCACTAAAGGTCGGGTAGCAAATTTCGTCTTTCCCACGGGGCAAATTATCTTAAGTTGCAACCCGTCCTCAGACCAAGTCCATTCCCTCTAGTGGTCGACCCCAAAGACACATTCATAAATTTTAACATGCTGTTCATTTAAAACAGGAATTTTCTTAAATATAAATTAATGTTATTTAATATTACCGTATTGTACAAATTTAGGCCCTGGTTAGGTTAGGTGTTTAGGCTCTGTTGGCGATTATTTGTATTTGTAGTACGTGGGTGAAGCATTTACAGCGTTGTGGTTCGAACAAAATTCGTGAGTGAAGCACTTGTTCCGGAAGTGTTCGAACGTCATCAGTTGTGAGTCGTGTGTAAACCGTTTTTCATTCATAAACAGCTGGGGTTTGGTGGCTGGGTTAACGAGCATTTGGCTTTGCTTATGAGGACGGGCTGTCATCTCAGCCCGTCCATTCCTTTCGGAGACTGTTACATCTAGGAGAAGCAGCTTGCCTTCACTCTCCATCTCGTAAGTGAAAGTTAGCACAGAACCTCACTTGAATACATCCTTCAGCTGTAGCAAGCGCAAGTAGCAAGTGCCGGGTACCTCCAGGAATATGTCATCAAAATGCCTACATTAGACGTCAGGTTTTAGGCTCATGTCAACATGGTCTTTCTGATCAATAGTGCCCATGTAACATTCACAAATAGGACACCAAAAGGGGAACCCATGGCAACATCATCTACTTGTTTGTACAAGAGACCATCAGCGCTCAGAAAGGGTGCGTCTTTAATACATGTTTCGAGTAGTTTCCTTAAGTACGCATTCCGGGTACACATTCCAGGCTGTCAATGGAAGTACAAACTGGATCTTATTGAACTTTCTCCATCATCATTCCAACAGTCTCCTTCACGGGTACATTGGTGACCAAATACCAACTCCATTGATCCAACTCTGTTGATCCAGAGACAAACTCACACCTGATGCCTGCGAGTAAGTCAACAAATTCGTTTACAAATTTAAGGCTAGAAGGGCATTGGCCTGCGTGGAGTCAGTAGTGTTGAGCTCTGATGGCCTCATGCCCAAACAAGTCCAACAATATTCCACAGTAGATGTAATATCTGTGATGCAATTACAGGTTGAGCCTGTAAAAGAACTTTACTCGCCTCACGTGACTTAATGCTCAATAGCCCACAATGTCCTGTAGCAGCTCTCTAGCTGTATCCTCGGGAGAGACGAGGCTGTATATATTGTGTGCTGGTTACCATTGTAACTTAATGGCCATGTTTTGGGTAGAAAATAATATATAATAACTGACCTTGTCGGCGGAGGAAGACCTCGCTGCCCACAGCCTTCAGAGACTTGTCACCTGCGGAGGAGTCAAAGCCTCACTCATACAACCCAAGTATATTTAACACCTAGCATTATATTTCATTATATTTTTATATATGTATACATATGCCTATATACATTATATTTCAATAGGTGGCAGAGGTACATCAGAACAGGAACAAAAATTAGCTTAAGAAAATGAGCATGATGGGAAACACAATTACTTACTGTTGAATAGTTCTAACATACAATAAACAACTTACAATATTAAGGTTAAATGCAAACGAAAGGAGGATGTTAGTATCAACTATGACATTACCTAACGACTAGTGGCTTGTGAAGTCGTCACTGGGTAAGACCAATAGTCAACAACCGCAGTATACGTTGGTTACATATGAGAATAGGTAAAACCGTCCAAGTGGTTGGGCATCATTCCTGTCCTTCAAATTATCCTAAATCATATCTTCATATCCCTTCTAAGTGCTATATAGTAATGGCTTAGTACTTCCTCCTGATAATTACCTCACCTTACCTCGGAATATGAGCTTGAGGGGAAAGGACATGTATTATGTGTGATCAATACTACCATAACCAGTAACTCTGTATGAGGCTATATTTAAACTTTTTTTTATATATAGATCAGTCAACAACAGACCATAAGCGCTTAATTTTTAATCTCTGTGTATGGCTGGGTCGGGCACAGCATACCAGGCTGTACATGCAGCCATCAATAATAGTTTAGTAAGTAGCAGAATGGTAAGTTATGCATTGAAACGTCATTAATAACGTCAAAAAAGTTTTAAATATTGAATAGTTTCTTATTAGTACACATATCTTGGGTCTTGATACATAATCAAACAATGTTGACTTGTAGCTGTGAACACCAATTAATCTCTGACAATGACAAACTACTCAAAATCTCTTACCTTCTTGGAGCCAATGTTGGTAAATGTCATCTATTCTGGTGCCATCAGCAAATGAGCAGTAGAGCACTAGATGAGCCAGAGCCACAGGCACCAGTATTGTTGCGAGGCGGTGAGGCTGGTGCAGGCGGCGAGGCTGGTGCAGGCGGTGAGGCTGGTGCAGGCGGCGAGGCTGGTGCAGGCGGTGAGGCTGGTGCAGGCGGTGAGGATGGTGTAGGCGGCGAGGCTGGTGCAGGCGGCGAGGCTGCTGGTGGGGACGGTGATTCTGGGGGCGACGCCGTGCGCTCAGACTCTGTCCATGATGATGGGAAAGAATTTTTGTACGTCTAGGACAGTAATACTGAAAGTGTGCCAGATACGAGGGGATGCATGGATGATAGAACTGAGAGCTGGATGGCTGCTGAGCGGTGGACTACTTGTGGATGTTGGTGCAGGAGAGTTGACGGTGACCTGGCCAACACGTCCTCTTACAAATTACGTCGCTCTTCGCACGTATGTGCACTCAGGCTAAAAATCGACGTAATTCAAAATGAAATCGGCTCACGATAGTAACGTACTGTCCCGTTTTCTGTTTTGAGTCCTCTGGCTTAGGCTGTTAGATTAGGAGAAGAAACTTTTAATTAACGGTTTTCATGACGTTTTGAAACGTTAGGAGAACTTCCTGTCCTCCTAACCTACCAGAGGACCCTTTACTTGCTGCTTTGAAAAAAAACTCCAAAATTTAATTGGAAAATAAATTTCCATTTTGAATTACGTCCATATTTGGCCGTAGCGCATAGTGCATACATACTACGCCACGCATATCACGTAGCGTAGTTAAGGGTCCTTGGTAGGTTAGGAGGGCAGGAAATTATCCTAAAGTTTCAAAACGTCATGAAAAACGTTAATTGAAAGTGTCCACTCCTAACCTAACAGACTAAGCTAGAGGACCCAAACAGAAAACGGGACAGTACATCACTTTCGTGAGCAGATTTCATTTAAAATTACGTCAGTTTTTGGCCGTAGCGCGCATACGAGCGAAAAGCGACGTTATTTTGAGAGGACGGGTTGACTGACAGTAGACGACAAAATTTTAAGCAAGTTTAACATCAGCACAGTTTGTTTATTCATATAACGTTATGCCTGAATTATTATGTGACAAATGAAAAATGCGAACACATTAAAAAACGGAAATTATGACGTTTTACGGTAGGCAGCGATATGATGTTGTTGACATGTCTGCGACTGCAAGCCTATCTATATCTATATAGGAAAAGATGCCTTTGCCGAGGGAGTCCTGCCCCGGCTGCCGCCTCTAAACAGACGAACTGAGACAGCTGCACCAGTCACACTCAAAAGGTAAATTTTAATTTTGTTTACTTAATTTATAGGCAATTTGTATGAGGCAAATTCTAATAATGAAGATGACTATAATCAAACCAATTCCTAGAGAGAGACACATACCTCTCTACACACACACACACACACACACACACACACACACACACACACACACACACACACACACACACACACACACACACACACACTGTGTGTGTGGTAATTACTTAGGTGTGTGTGGTAATCACTTAGGTAATTACACACACACACACAGCTCCAGCCTGGAGTCCATACTTAGTTAAACACAAGACGAAGTTAGAGAAGATTCAGAGGTATGCCACCAGACTGGTCCTGGAACTGAGAGGAATGAGCTACGAGGAAAGGTTAAGGGAGCTGAATCTCACAACCCTGGAAAACAGAAGAGTAAGGGGAGACATGATAACCACCTACAAAATTATCAGGGAAATTGACAGGGTGGACAAAGACAAACTCTTTAGCACGGGTGGAACACGAACAAGGGAACACAGGTGGAAACTTAGTACACAGATGAGCCACAGAGACGTTAGAATTTTTTCAGTGTCAGAGTAGTTAACAAATGGAATGCATCAAGTAGTGTTGTGGTGGAGGCTGACTCCATACACAGTTTCAAATATAGATATGATAGAGCCCAATAGGCTCAGGAATCTGTACACCAGTTGATTGACAGTTGAGAGGCGGGACCAAAGAGCCAGAGCTCAACCCCCGCCAACACAACTAGGTGAGTACACACACACACACACACACACCACACCAAGCGTCCTCATCCGTCACCCTGGCACCCAGCACTCCTGGCTCACAAGCGACGCTAGGGTGT